TTCACCAGTGAAAATAGTTTTGTGAGCAGTTGCTTAGTACTGTGTAGTGTTAATACACAGCAATTTATTATCAGGAATAAATTAGGTCTTATTAAGACAAAGAGGTAAATTGAGTAAGCAAATTAAATTAAATAAATCACTTAAACCTTAAATATTAGATTATACATATTGTACCTGACCACAGATAACCAGGAAATTAGTAGCAGATATCAGTTAAATGCAATACTGCCTCACTGGCAAGCAATCCAGCCAACAGCAGCCAGTGAGAAGGCAGATGCCTTCTACTCCCATCAAAAAGTTACACAAACATGAGCATACAGAAAAACAACAGAGTACTGTTTGTCTTTCAAAGCATCAAATATAGATGCAAACAATGAAAATAATTTCATTCAAAATATTAGCACTGGATGAGTCTTTCCCATGACACTTTTCTGTTAGAGTTGGACATTAAAATGAAAATCAAATCACCAGGTCCATCTTCCTTCACACCTGGTGATTCAAGAGAGCTGCTCAAAGTTAATGTCAAAAATTAAGTACTGACATTTTTAAGTGGAAAAAAATATTATTTTCTAGAGAAGCATAAACAAACTACCACCTAGAGGGTTGCTTTTCAATATGAAATGAAACCTACTCCAAACACATTTCAAAACCAAAACTGTCTCTCCTACCTTTGCTAATAGGCCTCATACCTCCAAAATGTATTTGATTATTTACCTACAATGCTCCTTGGGAAACTCTCAGGAAAAATCAATAATTAATAGCAAAGCCCACCCTTCAAGCCAAACTGTGAGCCACCTAATAAGGAAGATGCAAATGAAGCACACCACACACTAAGATGGACAAGGTAATCCACTGTGAATGATTCAGCATAAGCTGAGAGGATGCACGAGCTGTTCTGCTACCTCTGTGTGGATAACTGTACCAGTGCCATTACTGCAGTGCCCAAGCACTGTCTGAGTGCTACAAGGCAGAGAAAAGACATTTCCTAGGAGGGCCAAGATGATACCTGCAACTTATTCCTCATGTATCCTGATGTATCTACCTGTGCAGCCCTTCCAGAAGACCCCATCAAGCCTGACAAACACTTTACTCCATCAGCAGAATTAAAGAGTCACATTCTGGACCAATGCACCCTAAAGCAAAAGCCTGAGATGTGCTTAACAAGACCTTTGCTTCCTCTACTCTCAACCTGTACACAAAAATACTCTAAAAAGTTCAGAATGGACAGAGGGAAGCTAAATCTTGCACTGCATGTTTTACCAGCATTTTGCATACAAAAGGTACTTTAATAAAACATGAAAGAACATGGGTTAGCTTTCAGCTATCAGTGCAGTCTCTCTTGATAATTCTTCCCTTTATCAGGTGTTCTTAACAGATGCATATCCCAGAAGAGCAGCTTCATTTCATTTATGACTCTCCCCAGTGTCAGGGAGTCTATTGTTTGAGTGGGACACTGCCAGCTGCAGAATGGACAGGGATTCCCTCAGCCTCCAGGCCCAGTGTTACAGATGATCTCAGACCACCTGGACTAAGCCCTTGAATGAGGATCTTGGCACAAAGGGTGAAAAAAGTAATGTATGAGAAGTCAGTGTAGCACGTTCACGATGCTGTCTGGCAGCAGACAATAATGTTTCAGCAGAAACTTCTTGGGATGTGAAACTCACTATCTAAAGGCAGGTTGTAATTAGCAAGCTTGGCCAAACACAAGTGTGGCAGGATCTGTGACACTCCTTTGGCCAATCCCACACCAAAGAGGGCCATTCATTATTACTAATTGCTACCTTGCATATTTAGGTGTCCATAGCATTTTTCCACTTTGCCTAGCTGAGACTCTATAAACCTGCCAAACTTGGAGACTACTAGCAAATGGGTGAAAAAGTCTCATGAAAGAAACAAATTCGTCCTGATTAAAAAACAAAAGCCAAACAAGTGTTCTGAAGCTCAATTAGAAATTAAAATCTGCAACTAGAGTTTCCTCAATTTCATTTTGGGCATATGTTCTGAAGATCTAATAGAATTCCTTCTTCGTGATGAACTCAAGTTTAATTCTGTGCCACTAGAAGCACTAATCCAAAATAAACTTTTAGCAAGTGTTGCCAGTCATTTAAATTATACCCTTAGGGAAAGAACAGTTTGGGGCACCTGAAATTTACATTCAGTTTAGTTGGCAACACCTTGTTTTCATTTCTAAATTTTAAGTTTCTAGCCAAAACCCTTAGAAATATCAACAAAGGACGAAAAAAAGAATTAATCTACAGTTTAAGTAGACAATGCCTCAAATCTATGGAAATTAGCCATATTTGAAGAGCACCTTGGATGCATGTACTGGTTTCCATACCAAAGGCCAACTCAAAGCCTAAACAATGTACGAGCTCCCCGCAGTCACTATCACTGATACACTGCTGCAGCAGCAGGTGAAACACTCAATTGCCAGTATTTAGAGATCTCAAAGTAGAATGGGAGGAAAAACAAAATGACAGAGGGATATTCTAAGGTGCAGAAATAAAGAAAGAAACCCAAGAATTACATGCGCAAAGCCTGCCGGTGCCTGTGGGGCCCTCTGCCAGTTCCTGCCTCACTCCAGTTAAACTTCTCCCACTCCCAGGTGGCACCTGCAGCCCCCTCCCCCTCCTCCCAATTCTCCTTTTGCCCGGATCTGGGGACCCTGCTCACTGCCCTCCCCGTAGGCAGGACGCCTCCTCTCCCCGGGCCCCGCTCACCACCTTCCCCCGCC